GGCCGACCAACGGCCAAGTACCTGCACCCGTCGACGGAGAAGCTCAACCGAACGGCGAAGAGACACAGGTCGCGCCAGCGGAAGAGGAAGAGGAGGGCCCGTCGGCGACCTCAATCTACGAAGAGACGATTCGCAACCCCGAGTCAGACTACGCACTTTCCAGCTTGTCGAAACAAGCCAACGGGCTCGAAGTATCAAGCAAAGATCCACAGGCCTTCCTCGCCGATCAAGTCAACGTTCTTGAGAATCTGCGGCGGGAGGATGAGAACGAAGCTGCCATGAAGGCTGCGCGCAAAGAGCAAGATCCGTCAATCTCTAGGACTTATACCGACGACGCATCGGGAGTAGTTGAAGAGCATATTGGACCTGTACAATTCAACATGGGTGGAATTCAAGTCAACGCCGATGAAATGGTAAAGAGGCTACAGGTACGTCAAGCACAAGTCCATCTCTCCCGAGGAGATATAGAACATTTACTAACTTCCTTCCAGGACCGTCAAGCAAACCGATCAGACGAGCCCGAAACACCACCTCCCAAAACGCAGGATACCAACATCAACGACAACGAGAAACTGAGATCCTTCTTCTCCAGTTTGGTCAACAAGGCGCCCTCGGGCAGTCCAAGGGGTGGTTCGTAGTCTGGGTCTTGTTTCTTTACCGGCATTTCCCACTTTCTCAGGCATCCGCATTCCATACAAGTTTATTCGACGCTTCCGATAGCAAAGGCTTTCTTACAGGTTCACGGTCGTCATTAGCATGGCTCTATACCCACAGTGTATTTCCGTACCCAATACAAGCTTTCACATTCCGTATCATCATTTCTCGAACACGTACTCCTTAATCCCTGTTACTGCATCCACTGTCGACAACTCTGCTTTCTGCGTAGTCGTGAAAGCATGTACAACACATCGGTCGACTTGTCTCTATCTCCCATAGTAGAAGTCACGCATCATATTCGTCAAGCATCAACTTCACGCTCCTACCAACACACACTCATCTTTTATATAACTACCCCCATGCGTGTCTCTCTCCAACCCTCTACCCATACTCTTTCAACCAAACAAAGTTCTAGCTCACCTGACAAACACTACACTAAGTTACTAAACCCACAGCAACCCACCCCCGCACCATTCCCAGCATGACAGGTCGAGGCGTCCGCTGGGCCGACTACCGCCGCTCAGATCGCATCACAGCAGATGACCTCGCTCAAGTGCCTCACGGGCACTTCAACTGGGGACATTGGAGGCATATGGGTAATCCACCGGGGATGCAGGGGTATTGGAATGAGAGAAGAGGGCAGTGGGGCTGGAGGAACGGGTATCAGTGGGGGGATGCTACTGGTCGGTATCGCTGAACTGCGATATGCTCGGGTGTGTGTGCGTGTGTGCGTGTGTGTGAGGAGACGTGCAGGTTGACATGCTCATACTGCATCGTATTCACAAGAAACCAATCATGCACAACCACAACACCCACCTACCTCTCCAACAACCACCTAACCCCCTCCAACGTGTCCTTGCTAAACCCCTTACTCTCCTCCAACTCCGGATAATTCGTCCAAAACATATGTCCAAACCCTTTGTACAGCTCGAACCGCGTCAACACCCCATTCTCCCTCAGTTTTCTGTCATAGAGCACCGCCTCATCCCTCAACGGATCCAAACCCCCGACCTGGAAAAACGCCCTCGCGACGCCTACATGTCCATCTGGATGGTTGAACGGGTCCCAAAGCGGGGACTTTTCCTGGGGTTCGTAGATGGATTCGATGAATCCTGGTGCCATGTCTTTGAGGACGGGGTCGGAAGTGTTGTTTGAGCGGGATTGGTAGAGGGGGAGGAGGTGGGCAGGGACGTTTGTGTGAGGGAGGAGGGCGGGGACGCAGAGGTATTGGCCTGTTATGGGTGGATTTAAAGCTGTGTCTCGGGCGAGAAGGGCAAGAACGGCGGCGATGTTGCCGCCGGCTGAGGCGCCGCCTACGAGGAGGCCGCGGGTGGGTGTTGCGTTGAGTACGTCGCTATTCTTAGTAGCCCAGAGGAGGGCGTCGTGGCAGTCGTGGATGCCGATTGGGAATTTGTGCTCGGGTGCTAGACTGTGGTGGTACGTGTGAATAGGTGTCCTCTGGAAGAGAGTGGAAGTATACGAAGACGGAATGGTAACGTAAACCTGAATACAAACAACGGGATCATTCTTACCGATACTCAACATTAACACAAACAGCCCCCAACTCCCTCGTAAACATCCGACAATTCATGTCTTCATCCGTTAAATCACCCATGCTCCATCCTCCTTCGTGGTACATCATAATCAGTGGGCTGCCACCTTCCGGCGGACCCGCAACAGGCTGGTACACTTTGACGCGGATGGAGGCTCCATCTCGGGTGGGCACGTCGTGCAGACCTTCTTTCACGTGCTCTGGGATGGGACCGGGGATGGGGTAGAGATGACGGAGCCGCGAGAGATGGGCTGCGCGGGAGGCGCGGTGGGCGAAGAACTCTGGGCCTGTTGTTTGGAATGGGCGGGCTGTGAAGGCCTGGGGTTGGTGTGAGCTGAGAAGTGGTTGTTTAAAGCCTGGTGGGGCGGTGAAGGAGGAAGGCGATCATGTGTTATCGCAAGTGTCTTATCACCTCATACAAGGGAAAAACTGAACACCCTAGAGGCTACATTAAGAAGAAAACCTGCAAATTAGGTGGCCTAACGTTAATGTAGGCTCTAGACCTATCTAGGTTTTCCCTAGGTTGACGTGTTATGAAACCACTGTACCTTCCTGTATGCTTCTGATACTTCCCCCGACTTGAGGACTTCTTCTCGTGTTAGATGGGCCATGTTTCGTGCGATGTTCTTGGAATTATGGTAGTAAAAGGCAACTATGTTATCTAGATTGGTCCTCGGAGGCTTCCAGATATACGCACTTTCCGTCTTACGATGTTGATGCATACCACGTGTACGCCTACGTCATTCCTTAACAGTCTACTTCTATATCAACTCACATCCCTGAGAGCTATGCTTATCTTGAGATCATTGGTAGCCAGAGTCAGGTTACTTCAATTGAGTATGCGCTGGTGATATCGCTCAATTATATGAAAGGTATACTGCAAGATTATGTAACACATCAAAAGAAATATGAACAGCTCAGCTTCTACAACCCCAACACACGTCACGAAAGATTATGTGCAAGCTGCTGATAGTACCACAAGCGAACACATATCGTCCACCCCCTACTCCTTATCAACAAGCACAGTACTATCCTCGACCTTCTTCTCCTCCCCCGCCAAACTAGGCTGGACAACTTGCCTGCCCTTCCACCCCGCCATAAGCTTACCCAGCCTCTTCCTCAGCCCATACTGCATCCAGTACGGCCAAGTCCTTATCGCCGGAATGAACAGCCCACTCGTCTCCGGCAGAACAACATGCTGACTCTTGCCGCTTAGCACAGCCTTGACAATGCTCTCCGCAACCGTCTCCGGGTAAAGCACGCCCTTTGAGTCGAAGCCTTCGAACAGCGCAGTGCGCGTGTAGCTCTGAGCCATGAGCACAGTCCTTATCTTGGGGGCGTTGTAGCGGGCGGTGAGTTCGGCGGCGAGGCCTTCGTGGAAGGAGAGGGCGGCGGCTTTGGAGGACGCGTAGTCGACCATGGAGGGCGCGGACAGGTAGCCGGCTACAGAGGCGACGGTCACGATCATGCCGTGGTTGGCGGCGATCATGGCGGGCAGGAATTGCTGCGTCAAATAGTAGTGGCTGAAGGCGTTGACCTTGAAGGTCAGGTTGATGTCCTTCTCTGTCGACTCGAGGATGGTTTTGCCGCGTGCGACTCCGGCGTTGTTGATCAGGACCGTGGGGTTACCGAGTGTGGAGCGGATGGATGAGGCGGCGGAGGCGATGGCCTCGGGGTCGGTGAGGTCGCACTTGAAGAAGCGGACGGATGACGGTGCTGGTGAGTGTCAGTAACCCATCAATGCGATTAAGGCTCAATTGCAGACATACCCTCGTACGTCAAGTCCTGAACATCCAGGACGGCGACCTTGATACCCTTCTCGGCGAGCAACTGGACCACAATCTTGCCAATGCCATCGCTGCCTCCGGTCACAACGACCACCTCGCGACTCCAGACATAGGCGTCGCCGCTCCAGTTGTTGGTTACGCCGCTGTTGAGCCAGGCGTTGACGGTACTCAGCGCACCCAAGCCTAGCAGCGTCTTCAAGCCCTTGAATGCTGCGGCATGGTCTTCGGCAAGGGCGTTGCCTTGGTGCGTGTAGCGCGCAAGGAGGAGGAGGGGCAGCGTGAGGGCAGGGTTGAAGGCCGTGTACCTGATGAGGCGGCTGATGGTATCGCCAGTCACGCCTGTTCACGTTAGAAAAGCGTCCTTCACGATACTATTGCCATTGTGACGATTGGGAGCGGCAATGGCTCGGTGCTTACCTTCGCGCGCAAGGGTCCAGTCGCTTCGAATCGGCATCGCGACGGTGTCTTGGGTGGTTGGAGGTCGGAAAGAGTGGTCGGGATAGCGCGTGTGAAGCCGCAACTAGCACAAACGGATAGCGTTTACATTTCGCGCGTCGCGACTCTTTAAACGGACCGGCTGTGGTACTCCTTCGTCGTGCAGCTGTGCCACGCCCACCAGGGAGAGAGCGGGGTCGCCCCAAAACGAGGCTGGCGCAATCCTGATGGAGCCCACAACCGAGGATCTGGCGCTGTCTATCGCGATTTCCCTGTCGCCATGTGCAAATGAGATTTGCCAAGAGATCGGAAGGGATTCAGGGATTGAAAGGGATCATTGTCAGGATCGTAAAATGATTATTATTTACAGCTGTCGTGCTGTCGTGCTGTCGTGACTAATATACAATCGTGCTAAACGCGCTGCAAGTGATGCTATGTAACTACTGCTAATACTAAAACAAAGGAAATCTCGTAAAGTGGTAAAATGATATCCCAAACGCCAAACACAAAACCCGCCCACGCTATCAAGGTAAGATGAGAAGAAATTCGTAATCCAAACGGCCGTCCATCTAGATCATGTTGCTACCGGGTTGCTCGTAGTCCATGATCGTGCTCTCAGGGGGCGCGACGCTCGTTACCCGACTGATGCGACTTGCTCGTGAGTCGGGACGATTGATCGACATCGCTCCACTCATGACCCTCACTACCTTCCTGCTCTTGGTTCCGGCGACCAGGACCTGGGCTGGGCAGACGACAATCTCGTCCTCGCCTTCGCCGAAGTCATCGCCCTTCTTTACGACTAGGGGAAACAGTACAATCTTGACTACCGACCCACGGGCTTGGAGTTCGTCATTCGACGTCGTCTCGCCTGACCGCTCGTTCATGAGAGAGGCGTTGAAAGTAACCTTGGCGACGAGATCGCCCTTGGTATCGTACTCGGGTTGTAGCGGCGGTAGCATGATGTATTCTGCGCGTTGCGTGCGCATCTCAATTGATAGCTCCACTGCCAAGCGCATGACATTGCGCAACGACTCCTGGATCTGGCGCTGCAGATGCGATGGTGGTGGAAGAAGTGTCGAGAGTGTGCTGTAGATCTCGTGCACGACAGCTTCAGTGTCCTGAGCGCGTTGCTGCATGAAAGGCTCTCTTCTCGCAAGAAGGGTAAGTGTGATAGCTCGCCATTGTGCCACAGCGCGTGGTGGGCCGACCTCTGAAAGTGTCTTCTCCAGCGCCTTGAGTTTCTGGCGCTGTTCTCGGTCCATACCGAATAGGTACCTGGTGAAGACGTACTCCCAGATCATGGTCATAACCACGGACATGAAGACGTCTCGGCGCTTGACACGGTCCGCTAAGAGTGAATCGACATCTGAGCCATCGAGAATGGCATTGTCAAGGCGAGTGTCGATTTTCTGACGCGTTGATGCATCCAGTCGTGTATCAGCTGCGACCTCTGATGAAAGGCGGCATGCGCGAGTGTCAGAGAACTTGGAGAAGCGCAGCACCCACTGCTGTACATGTTGACACAGTTGTTGACAGGCGCTGTCAAAGTAGTCTTCATCGCGAACAGTGAGGAAGCTCTCACTAGGCTTCTTCGAAGCCAAGATCTGCTTTTGAAGGTTCTTGATCTGTTCGCGTGCAGTCGCCAGCTCTGCGGTTAGACGGTCGATTTCGGCATTGCGCTCATCTAGTGCTTCGCCAACTTCATCGCGGACGGCATCTGCGAGACCTCGCTGCATCTGGGTATGCTGACGACGAAGTTCCTCCAAGTCTCGTTGTGATGTTTGCCATTGCTGTTGCATGGCCTGGCCTTCAGCCTGAAGCTGAGCGTATTGACTGCGAAGGCTCTCTAGCTCTCGTTGTGATGCCTGCCATTGCTCATGCACCATCTGTCCCTCGGACTGGAGTTGGCCATATCGTTCATTGGCATCGTTGGTCAGGTTGCGATTGGCGTCTGTTAGTGCGTTGTTGAGTTGATTCAGGCGCGCAATCTCTTCTTGTAGTCGCTGAAGCGTATCCTTGAGTTGCGCAATGTCGATATCTCTTTGGTGAATCTGACGGTCACGTGCTTCTACTTCTTCAAGTACCAACTGCTCGTCAACTTGGCGCTGGTGTTGTGCAGCCTGCAAAGCCTCCTCAGCCTTGGCTTTGGCGGTCTCGACAGCTGAGTTTTGCGCAGCTAGCTGGTCAAGTTGCGTCTGGAGGTCCATAATTTGCATGCTTTGACGTTTGCGCACGCTTGGTGGACGTGAGGGCGAGCTAGGCGACCTTTGGGCTTCACCCCATGCTTCCTGCAAAAGACAGTCAGTAATCAGAAGCGACGTGCGCAACAACTGCGAACTACTTACAAAGGTTTCGGCCATACTGGTACGGCGACCTCTACCTGTACCCCGGACTGGGTCGTAAACCGGTGGGGCGGCGATACCTGCGATGGCTGCTGCTCCAGCCGCGAGCGCCGTGCTGGAGAGATTGGGTTGCGCGCTCTTAGCGTCTTGCGCACTGGCCTCGCCAAGCCTCGAGGCTGATCTGAGGTCACCTGACGTTTGCCGGTCCACTCTTCTCAACGACCGATCTGAACGTGTGCTGATGTTGCTCATAGAGCTCATAGGACGTTCCTGATCCGGAGACCTAAGCCTCGCGATGTTGCTCAGAGAACGCTGACTTTGGACACTGGGCGACCGCTGCTCAGCAATGTACTGCTTCAACGGGTCTGCGCTCGGAGATGAGCGAGGCATGCGGCGTGCGGGGCTGAGGGTCATGGTTCGGTCAACGCTGTCGTTGACCTGTGACCATGGTGAATCTCTTCCACCCGAGTTGTCTGCCATGGATGCCACACTTCGACGACCCGTGGGCGTTGGCGTGCTGGGCGGAGGTGATCTCAGGCGATCAGAAAGTTGCCTGAGACTCTCGGTGCGACGAGCTGACTTGAGTCCTCGCTCTGGCGCGCCGACATCAGCGATGGATCGTGACTTTTTGTGCTTGGTGTCATCCGGGCTGACTTCCTCAATGGACTCGAGTTGCTTGGTGCCTGGCGTGCGTTCGGACTTCGCGACAGGCGTGGAAAGGGTCTCACCCTTCTTCTCATTTGGATCTCCAAACAAGGATTGGTATGGCTCCTTCTGTGCAATCTGCTTCGTAGGCGATGTTCGACCGTGCTGCGACTCTGTGCGTGGTTTCTTGCCTTTGTCTTTCGACGGAGTATCATCAATTCTCTGAGTATCATGAGCGGGTGTTTGCAGCCCAACTGCTGGTGAAGTGCCATAGGCGCGTGTTGATGGCGAGGAATCGAAAAGGTACGAGGTTCGCTCCTTCGTCGCAAAGTCGGTGCCTGGGGTTGTCGCGCCAGAAATCACTGGGTGTGTTGGCAAAGCAGGGCTGTCTTCGGCATCTTGGTCAGTTGCAATCGAGCGTTTTGATGCACCCAGAGGAGTCTTCGGTTCCTTCGACCGCCTCAGCGTACGTGTTGCCTTCTCGACTGGCTGTGCTGTCTGTGCAGTGGCGGGGTCCCGACTGCTGTCGTCTCGAACTTCGGCGAATGACCATGATGGCTCGTTGGCTGGTGCTGCACCATGCGTTGATGATTTGGCTTCTTTGGAGCGCTTGTCGGAGTGTGAGCGTTCTGATGCGACAACATGCGCTGGTGATGCTGTTCTCTCAGTGGTGAATTGAGGCTCTTGTGTGGACTCCAATGTGTGTAGGCGCTTCTCGTCCGGCTGCTCATCGTCAAAGGATACAGGGTGTGTCCTGCGCTTATGAACTTCAGGAACGGCAGCTGGTGTCTCGGCTGGTGGTGCGTCCCTCGACGCGGTGCTCGACTCTCCCTCAACCCTCTCTTCAGTCTTCCTGCTCTTTTTGCTCTTCTTTCTTGGCGATGGAGCCCATGCATCCATATCCCTCTCTTTCTCCAACTCCCGCCTGCGCGTCTCCTCCTTCCTCTCGATCTCCTTTTCTTGCGTCACCTGTGGAAATGGATATTCCTTCGGCTCTCCAGCGGTCAGTGAACGGGCTTCCTGATCGAATGTCACGGGCAGTACGGGCACATCGTCAGTGGCTGCAGGTTTGGCGTCCTTCGCTGACTTCCTGGGCCTCTCCTTCTTCGCTATCGTGTCTTGTCTGTTTGAATCTTCCTCTTTGACGTCGATAGACTTGGCTTCCAAACCTGTTGTTTGCATTGGCATCTCCGGAAGGACATCGGTGGAGTTTGGCGCGCGAGGCACGGACTGAGCAGGCTCAATTCCGCGGACTGTGGAGTCAGCTGGAGTCTCAACAGCGAGAGGCACATCTCGATGAGCCTCGATCGCCGGAGTCTCTGCAGCTGTATACTCAACACGGTCTTGCGGACGTGGAGCTCCTTCTTCGTCCTTCTTTGACTTCTTGCCTCGAACAATCGGCGCAACTGAAGCGTCTGCTTTTTCGCGAGTGTGTTCAGATTCCACTGGAATTTCTGGTATCGGGTGACGCTTCTTCTTGCTCTTGTTCCTTCTCAAACTTGACGACCCGGCCAACTCATCAGGGTCAGCTTCTTCAAGAACACCAGGAGGTGACTTTCGCGTTGCAAAAGCGGGGTCGTTGAGCACATCCAGTGGGTCGAACGATGCAGTGTCAGTCGTTGCCATTGCTACTTCGATGGGTGGCAGAACATCGGGTCCGCTAGTTTGGAGTGGTCGTAGTTTTGGCGAGCCGGAGACCGATGATGAGCGACTCAAGCTACCGAGTCGTGATCTGCCGGCTCTTTCCTTTGCAGCGGCAATATCATCATCGGGCGTGATATCGCGAGCTCCTGATATGGAGTTCGAGCGATGGAAAGCTCTATCGTTGATGACATATCCAGGATCAAAACCGGACTCCTGCAAACTGGCGGCGACAGTAGCTGCGAAGTCTATGTCTCTTGCGGGCGACTTCGAATCTGATCGCACTGGTGATGCCAAGCCAAGTTGACTACGAGATGCAACTCGAGAATGGAGCTGACGCTTCTCAGGCGATGGGGATCGAGATAGGTATCGCTTCTCGGGAGATGGGGGTAGAATGGGCGTAACAGATCGTGATTGACTTTCGTACTGTTCGGCGAGGTTTCGGACACTGCCCGACCCTTCTTTTCGCAGACCTCGTTCCACGGGAGCGCCATCCGGTGATTTACCGCGCTCAAACAAAGCTGCCAACTTGTGTTTCTTGGATGACTTCTTGTGCAACAAAGGGTGCTGAGTAGTGCTATCAGATTCGCTGGCCCTGACGTGGAGATCAGGGATAGAGACGTTGGACATAGACCTGACGTGTTCCCTCTTCGGCTGGCTGAGAATTGCTCCAATTACAGGCGACCCGGGCGTTGACGGTGTTGTAGGCCTTTTCCTGGGAGAAAGGCTGCGTTCTCGGATCGTATCTTGGCGGTTGTCGTACACAATCTGACGCACAATAGTCGGTTCAGGGGCGGTCTCCTCGACCGGGACGATGGGTGCAACGCTAGCGGACTCTCTTGAAGTCGTCGGAGACTTTGACTTGCGCTTCTGCTTCTTGCTCTTCTTGGGGGTCGTCTCGGCCTCAGGGATGGCATCAGTCGTTGGGGCGTCGAAGGTCACACGCTCTTCTGGAAGTTCTCTCTGAGCAACAATCCCTTGAGGCTGCTTCTCCGGGACCGGCGCGATTGAAATCTCTTCTGTGGGCTCATTTGGGATGTCCATAGGAGCCGTGACTTGCTGCTCCTTAGGCCTTGACGAGTCAAGAGAACGCTCTTCGATTCGGACGTCTTCAGAGACCACTACATCGTCGATTCTCGATGTGAGAGGCTGTTCAGCAAGCAGGTCTTGCTTCTTCCCCTTCTTGTCTTTCTTACTCTCTTTGCGTACGAGAGTCGGGGCAATCGCAGACTCTGGTTCTGTTTCACGCACAGCGGGGAATTCACGAGGCTGCTCGGTGCTTTCCGTAATGGAAGTCTTGATGGCAAGGTCGATGGGAGTCGATTCGGGCTGGACTTCGGTGACTTTAACCTCTGGCTCTGGGTCAAATCGTGGCACAGTAGATGGCTCGGACCGAGGTGCCTCTTCCATGACGTCCGTCGCGATTGGAAGTTCGACGATCGCTGGTCCATGGGAGAAAGTGTCCCTGGATACCTCTTGGGTTGTGTGCGGTATCTCCGTAACGATGGGCTCACTGGTCTCGGGTAACGGTGCGTCTACCGTAACGGGCGCCTCGGGTTCCTGCGCGGGGAGTGTATCTTGCTTGGCTCTCTTTTTGCCCTTCTTGCTGAGCTTAGGAGATGGAATAGATGGCTCCTCGAGAATTGGCTCTTGTTGCTCGACGACTGGTGGTGGCAGACTGTCCGTGTTTACCACTGCTGGTGTAACGATTGAGGTATCGACCTGTGTCTCCACTTGACGTTGGCTCGGCGTCATAGCCGGGACTTCCTCAATAGCTGCCCCCTTGGAAGCCTCGACACTTGTCGCAGGGAGAACCTCACTGAGAGGTGCAGGCGCTGACGTAGCTACCTCATAGTCAGGCAAAACTACTTCCCGAGATTCAGTCGGGGTAGAGAACGGAACATCCTCTACCGCGGCAGCTTGCTTGGCCCTTTTCTTGTCTTTCTTGCTAAGCTTCCTTGAAGGCACTAGTTCCTCTTCCACAAGTGTTTGTTGAAGATCTTGGGTGAGGGTAGATGACGCCGGGATGTCGGCTGCAGCTGGCTCATCAAGTACTACTCGCTCAGTATCGATGGAACGGGAAGCCTGGTGAGTTTTCTCTGGCACGACAGTGTCTGCTGAAGGCCCAGTGACGACTGATGGTGACTCTGTTGGCTGCTCGGCGATTGGCTCTGGGTACTCAACGATCGGCGCGCTCGACGGCGATGCTGTCTCGGAAGATTCGACTGGATCGACTGCAGGCTGCTTGCCCTTCTTTTTCTTCTCCTTCTTGCTCAGTTTGCGAGAAGGCCCATCGGTCGCAATGGTATCTTCTGTCAGCGAGGGTGTTTCGACAACTTCTCCCTTGTCGACAACTTGCTCTTCTGCCAAGATCGGCGCAGACACGAATGCGGGCGTCTCGACGACTTCCTTCGTCTCAACCGCAGCCTCAGGTTCGGCCGCAGGAGTCGTCGGCATAGCGTCAGTGTCGCCTTTGCTCTTTCTCGCCTTTTTCTCGCCCTTCTTCGTGAGCTTTTTGACGATATCGAACATGGAAGCGGGCTCGATGATGGAGGGCTCATCAGCATCGAGTGCTTCTGCACGGAGTCGCAGATCGGCAGCTTCATCTTGGATCGCCCTGAGAGAGGGGGAGGGCTCGTTTACTAGAACAGAGTCGTCATGCGTGACTTGACGAGCTTCTTCGTGCGTCGTGGTGGACTCGATAGGCTCGATAGGCTGCTGCTCCTCAAGGCTCCGGTGGTCGTCTTCTGGAGTAGCTTCGGCGACGGCAGGTACTGGGGTCTCCTCGACTATTGGGATTACCGGCGCACTCTCTTCTGCTGGCGTGGGAGATTGTACCAACTCCTTCGTGGTCTCGGTGGTAGTTGGCTGAGGGATGACTTGCTCAATGGGTGTCTCGGTGACAATTTCTGAAGGGGCTTCACTGGCAGTCGTAGCGGGTCCAGAAAGCTCGCTGTCAGCAAGAGACTTCCGGTCCTTTTTGGCCTTCTTCGCCTTCTTCGACATTGAGCGGGAAAGGGAACTTTCTTCCACAGGCTCAAACAGTGTTTGCTCGTCGCGCAAGTCAGTTGTTCCCGTTGTAGGCTCCGATGGCTCCTCCGATGGCAGCTCTCTAGCGATTGGAGATGATGCAACAGGTACCTCCGGAATGGTCGGTTCAAGGATGAATGGCTGGGCTTCAATGCTCTCGGATTGTGCTTCTGGGACGCTCTTGGCCTCCTCGACTACGGTAGTTGACTCCGCTGACGCTTCGACTGAGGCGTCTGGCATCAGCTCTCGAGTGGGCTGTTGCTGGAACTCTTCAAAGACCGGTGGTGCGACAGCGGGAAAGGCCACATCAGCTTCGGGGACAGAACGATCCTGGACGTCAGTGGTGCCTGTTGGGACATCTCCTGGTAGCTTGTCGACGTCCATATCTTGTGAGAAAGCCGGCTGTTGAGGCTGTTCGATCACTTCGGGAGTAATGTTGGCATGGACAACAGGCTCTTCCGTCTTCACAGACTCCGTTGTCGTCTCCTCGATCTGAGCGGTCGTCGAAGTCATTGGCTCAGTCTCCGGGATCGTTGTGTCCTGATCCTGTAGGTTGATAGGCTGCAGTCGTTGGGTGGCGGCGGGCTCAGTCTCGAACGTTTCCGTTGCTTGTACTTGCTCAGGAAGAATCGATGTTTCTTTGACAGGCTCCTCGGGGAGATCAGAGACAGCAGATTGCGTCTTGCTCTTCTTGTCCTTCTTCGCCTTCTTGCTCTTCTTTGGAGTGGAGACAATTGTGTCCTCCACTGTTGCTTCTTGAGGCAAAGCCTCGATCGCCGATTCTGGTGCCTCGCGCCAAGATGAAGACTCAACAACAGACTCATGTACCACTGGGTCAGTCTCTTGAACACGCTCAACCGTAGTGGGATCGACTGCAGGCGCTGGTTCTACCGTCGCTGGCTTGACGGTAGGCTCGACGATAGGCTCGACGGTGGACTCGACAACAGGCTCGATAGTAGATTCCGTGGCTGGCTCCGTGGCTGGTTTCACGACTGGCTCCCCCTCAACGATGGATTCCTCGAACTGAGCAGCGGCCTGCTTCTGGGCCTTCTTCCTCTCCTTCTTGCTCAGCTTACGCTTAAAAACGGGCTCCTGCGAAACGGTCTCATTCTTGACTTCCTCGACGACGGTCGTCTCTGGTCCCGAAACTGGTTCGTTGACTGTAGGTGCAGTCTCGGTGGCAGGTGCTTCACTGACGGTCTCTGGCAGTACAGGAATCTCTGGCTGGATCGTGACCTCCTCAACCTGCGGGTGGTCGTCTATGACCGGTGCGACAGGGTCTTGTACTTCGGGCTGAGGAAATGCGACATCTTTGGTGTTGACAGCAATGTTGTCGGAGTCTGCTGTAGGCAAGGCTTCGGGAGCTGGGGTTGTGACATCTGACTTCTTGCCCTTCTTCTTACTCTTCTTGGAGACCGATGGGGATGCTGGCTCCTCGGCTTGAGGCTCAACGTCCGTCGTTGGTACATCGGAAGGTCGCTCTTCAACGATCGCTGGAGTGACAGTGGTGTCTGGCACATTTTGGCTGACTGTCTCCTCGATGTGATCCTCGATTGCGATTCCCTGTGTAACAGGAGTCTCTTGCACCGCAGTAACTGGTGCATCAATGGCTGGCACCTCTTCGATCAGTCGCTCAATGATAGGCTCTTGAGCAGTATCAGGCAGTGGCGTTGAAATGGCTTGAACGAGAGACGGCGTAGGATCAGACTTCTCGATTTCTTCCTTGATCTCCTCCGTTGGAGGCATGGAAAGTGCGCGGTCATCCAGTGGAGATTCTTGGTCAATCGCAGGGACAATGGTCTCAACTACAGCAGCTTCCTGAGGCAAAGAAAGTGGCACATCCCGAGTCGCTGGCTCATTGATGCTAGCGCCAACATCTTGGACGGTTTCGACCCCGGGCTGTGCTGCGACTTCATTGACAGGCGTGATAGCATCGGAAGCCTTCGATTTCGCCTTCTTGGCCTTCTTCTTGTCCTTCTTGGACAACGGTGCGGCCTCAGCGATCTCGAGTGGAGCCTCTGGCTCTACGATTGGGGTCAAAAGTTGCTCGTCTTGGGCACCTGATGTGATCTCAGGCTGGATTGGGCCGACAAACTCCTCCCCAACTGTCTCGGCTGGTGGGCTGATGATGCGATCTTCAGGTAGCGGTACCTGAGCGGCGTCTTCTACAGGCTTGAAGATCACTTCTTGATCAAGCTTTGATTCCGCAAGCTCTGAGGATTCGCGGGTGTCTTCGGTGACAGGTACTGGTGCATCTTCAGACGTTATCGGCTCGTTGACGGTAGTCTCTGGAACGAATGGGATGTCCTCAGGCTTTGGTGCGGATACATCTTCAACTGGTGTGGACTCAATGACCGGCGTTGTCTCGGTCGCTGGTTCAATGGCTCGCTCGGCCACCGGCTCCAAGACCGGCTCAGCAATTGGCTCGACGATCGCGTCGGCAACTTCTTCAATGACCGGAGTAGGCGCGGCCTCCGTAGTAACATCTCGAGGTAAGTCTCGAAGTACATCAGGAGTGGTCTGCTCCACTACTTCTTCCGCTTGAGATTGTTTCTTGGCCTTCTTGCTCTTCTTCTTGTCTTTCTTCGAGAGCGAAAGTACGGGAAGCTCCTCCGTGGGCGATTGAAGGGCAGCAGGAGTTGTTGGCTCAAGCTGTGTTGTTGTCGGAGGCTCGCATACGATTTCTGGAACCTCAGCGGGCGCGTCACGTTCGATGCTTGGTAGCGAAGGTTGCTGCGTCTCTTCGACAGGCTTCGAGATCGGCTCTTCTGGGCCGGTAGTCTTGTCGTCTGTTGTCGGAACTGCTGGTTGAACATCCTCGACCCGTTCAGGAACCGTGACCTCGCGTGACACTTCTGATTCGTTGACTGGTTCAGACGCCAGCGGGGTTGGCTCAACATGAACGGATGGCAACTCCTCTGGCTGGGAAGACTGGACTTCAGGAACGGTCTCGATAGACGACGCCTGCTTGGCCTTCTTGCTCTTCTTCTTGCTTTTCTTTGAAGAGGTCGGCTCTTCGATGTTTTCAACGGTACGTTCAGCATTTTGGGGCACAGGCTCCGCGATGGTCGTTTCTTTGGTCACCTCAGGCAAAGAAGCAGGAGTCTCGGGCTGTGTGGTTGAATCCTGGCGCTCGTCTGTCGTAACCGGAACAGATACATGCTCTTGGACATCAGGCGTTACGTGTTGGTCCTTGCGAAGGGCGACTTGTTCGACAGTAGGCTCTGCATCTGCTTGAGGCTCGGAAGGATGCGCAACCTCAATGTCTTCAACGCGTGTTGCATCTTCCGAAGGCTTGACATCCTCAGCTGTAGAAGCGACTGGTTCCTTGGGTTCTGCAACCGTAATGTCTTCGCTTGGCTCTTCCGCGGTGTCGCGCTCAGGCTCAGAAACGCTGATGGCTTGCTCTTGTTCCTCTGGGATAGACGCGCGTTTACCCTTCTTGTTCTTCTTTTTCTTCTTAGAAGGGGTGGCCAAGTCATCAGCTTCGTCGAGTGAACGGGTCGGTTGTGCCACTGGTGTTTGAGAAGCTTCCTCCACAACTTCCTTGAGCTCGTCTTGTTGCGGCAGAGCAGTCGGTTGGTCCTCTTCAGCGACCATCGCAGTAGGTGTGGGTTCTTGGTGCGTCTCTACTGGAATTGGGTCTTCTAGTGTGGGCGCTGAGTCGGCTTCCAGCGCCACAGATGGCTCAGTAACGGCGGAATCGACTGGGATGATTGTCTCAGACGCAAGGTTTTCCACGATAGGTGCTTGCTCATCGATGTCCTTCTCGGCAACGTCTGCAACGGCAGTCGTGGGCTCTTGCGGCGCGGTCGACTCGAAAGGCTGTTCGACTTCCACTGACTTCTCCTCAGTAGCGATAGCCTCCGTGGCAGTCTGCTCTGGCAACCCCTCAACTACAACCGCAGACTCTCCACGCTGTTCAGCCTCGGCAACCACCTCCTCCACCTTCTTCTCCTGCTCTTCCTCAACTCCTCTTTCCACTATCTCCTTCTCAACATCCCCCTTTTCCTCGTCTTTCTTCTCCTCCTCACGTTCCCTCTCCTCCCTCGCATCATCAATCTCCACCTCCTTCTTATCATCAAAATCATCAACAAGCTCGTTATTCGTAAAAGATTGGGGATATTGTGTCGGTATCCCCGAGAAAGGTAGTTGGGTCTCCGAAAGTGTAGGAATCGACAGAGACGGCTGAGTATCAGAGTTGGCTGCCTCAGGCGTCTCATCTGCTAAAAAAGGCTCCGCAGGTGTTGCCTTCTTAGCTTGCTTCTTGGCCTTCTTCTTGTCCTTCTTGGAGGAGGAAGGGGACGAAGGCGCTTCGAGCTCTCTGTCTGGCGGCTTGGGATCGCCTGGTGACGGGTCTGGTGTAGCAGTAGTTGGTGCAGGGTCTTCAGCTGGGGTTGAGGCGGTTGTTGGCTCCGAAGTTGCGGTGGGTTGCTCGAGGTATGCTTCAGCCTGCTTCGCCTCGCTGGTAGGTTCCGCGACTGGCAGGGCACGGGGTTCATCCGCTTGGGATAATTGCTCAGTAATGGTCTCCTTAACCACTTCGGGAACAGCTGACTGAGGCTCGGCAGAAAGAACCTTTGACAAATCCTCTGCAGGTGTGGCTGGCCGGGATGGTTCTACCTCCGCAACGGACGCGCGTTTGGCTTTCTTCAGCTTCTTCTTTTGCGACTTCGATAGCCCAGCCCATTCCTCTGGTTCTTGCTCGTCGTCCGGCTGGACATCTGTAGAGGTGGCAGTGGTGCTGGGAATAGTCTGTGCGTCTGATGTGGTGGTCTCGACCGCGTTGTCAGCTGTAGGCGCAATGCTGAGCTGTTCGTTCTTGGTAGAGTCGTTCACATCGCGGCTGGTAGCTGGCTCCTTGCCTTTGTTGTCCTCAGTGGCGACTATAGCAGGGGCTATCGAATCGTCAACATCCGTACGCGGAGCCTCGTCGATAGTCGTAATTGTCGTGTCAGGCACCACCGAGGAAGGCTGCTCGATCAAAGTAGTTTCAGCTGCTTCGGTCAAAGGCTCGGCGGGGAGAATAGGTTCAGAAGCCTCAACCTCAGCGTTCTTGGCGGCTTTCTTGGCCTTCTTCTTGTCTTTCTTTGATTCCGACGACGCCTCCTCTTCTTCCGTAGGTTCCGTGACGGTCTGATCAACAACAGAAGTGGGGGCTGTTGTAACCTCGGAAACGTTAGGGGCAACGTCCGACTGCTCTTTCTGGTCAACTGCTGGTACGGCAGGCTCTTGTTCAACAGTAGGAACGTCTTTGACAGCTTCCGTAAGCTCTCTAGCAGACTCATCAACCGGAGTGGAAGGCAGAGATGGCTCAGCCTCCGCGGCTGATACACGCTTGCTCTTTTTCGCCTTCTTCTTGTCTTTCTTGGAAGGTGTGGCTGGTTCATCGATGGTCGAAGATGTCGCTACGGGCTCCTCTGCCGAAGTCTCGGTCAGAATGGTGGCAGAGACTGGCTCTTCTGCAGGCGTCTCCTCTTGAGTATCCGTCTCAGTCTCAACGATCGATTCGCGCTTTGACTTCTTCGACTTCTTCTTATCCTTCTTCGAGACTGGACTGGTAATCTCTGGCACAGCCTCAACCTGACTTAGTTCTTCTGAAGCCGGCTCAGGTGTAGCAACGAGCTGTTCGGCAGGCGTAGGATGAGATGAAGTGTCTTCAGTAACGTCGGACACAGTGCTTGGCAATTCTTCGATGGTAGGAACGTCGGAGGCGGGTACCTCTGCAACTGAAGGTGTAGAGAGCGTAGACTCTTCGATTACAGGCTCAGTCTTCTCTTCAATGGGAGTTGACGGGATAGAAGTGGGCTCTTCGGCGATCGAAACGCGCTTCGCCTTCTTTGCCTTCTTTTTGTCCTTCTTCGAGAGTGGAGCGGCCGCTTCCTCAGTGATCTCGGGTACGGGTGCATCGGCAGCCAGCGTCTCCTCAGTCGGCTTGGACTCAACAGTTGGCTCTTTGGAAACTGATGCTTCCTCTCGCTCTTGAACCGAAGCCTCAGGAACGGATGGGGCTGTGGTATCGATACGAGCATCGTGTTCGACGGACACTTCAGGCACGGGCCCAGTATCGGATGTAAGCTCCTCGGTTGTGGCGGTCTCCGGGAGGGTATCAGAAACGATGGTAGGCACAGGTGTCGGCTCTGTCGCAGTTTCAGGTACAGTCGCTGCTTGTTCAGGTTGGCTAGTCTCCTTTTCCTCGGTTGTCGCTTCAGGAAGAGGAATCACGGTAGGCTCTTCAATAATGGAAGTACCCTTGGCCTTCTTAGCCTTCTTCTTGCTCTTCTTGGAAGCTGACTCATCCTCTTGCTGCTCAGTTACAAGCGCAACGTCCTTCTCATCAACCGTAACCTCATCTTGTGCCACAGCTGCAGGCGCGGTCTCGATCGGGGTGGTGGCCGCGGCGTCTTCAGCTAGAGGATCGCTTGGAAGTACATCATCTTGACCTGCGGTAACCACTGGCATCGACTTGGGAGATGTAGCCCCGGAAACGGTCTGTGTCTCAGCGACGGGCTCTTCGATGGGTGTCTCCTGAACAGTCGGCAGAACTTGTTCCTCGCGAGTTGGCTCGTCAACGGTCCGCGAGACAGTCTCGACTGGCGCAGAAGATACCTCAGGCATCTCACTCTCAACTTCAGCCTTCTTGGATTTCTTGGCCTTTTTCTTGTCTTTCTTTGAGAGTGGTGTCGCTTCCTCGGTGGCTTGCTCTGGGACGGGTTCATCACGTGCTGGCTCAAGATCGATCGCCTGAACCACTTCCTCAACCTGCGCTGGTTCTGTGGGAGCGGGAACGTCTTGCTCAGTAGTGGGGGTCTCGACAGTCGTAGGCAGAACATCGGCAGTAGGCTCGGGCGCAACATCGCGACCAACCAGTTCTTCAGTGGTCGCAGCGGTAGATGGGAGCGCTTCTTGGACAGTGGTTCCCGGGAAGACTGACTCAGACTCGGTAACGGGAGTCTGAGGTTCGGAGACCAACTCTCCCTTCTTGCCCTTCTTCTTCTTCTTGCTCTTCTTGGGTGTGCTGGGAGCATCTTCGGCCTCAACCTGGTCTTGAACTTGTGAAGTCTCGGGCAGTGTCCTCTCCGCTGATGCAACATCGTCGAATGAACGCTCTGTAGTCTCAAGAGGTGCTACCGAGTCGCCAACGTCGGCAGCAGGCTCGGTCTGCTTCTCAAAAGAGGCATCGGCGACCTTGGGCTCGACCTCTGAAGGTTTGACAGTCTGGTGCTGCTCAGTGGTTGCGGGTGCAGCTGCCTCGAGGTTGACATCAAGCTTGGCATCGGCAGCAGTATCTTCCGCAACAGGCTTAGACAGAGGCGTCGCTGGGATTTGCTCAGCCTCGGCCTCTTGGTTGGCTTTCTCCTTCTTTGCCTTCTTCCTGCCCTTCCTCGAGACAGGCTCGGCACCCTCATTCTCGATGTCTTGGCTGGAAAGGGTAGGCGCAACCGAAGCTTCCTCAATGGGCGTATCCTGCTGCGCGGATGGAACGTCCGTAACGCTCTCCTGGACGAGTGCAGGCTCATCGATGTCAACGACTGTGCGAGTCGTTTCCTGCGAAGGCGACAAAGTATCCTCAATACGTTTCTCCTCTTGAACAAGCTCAGAAGGGACGTCGAACAGTGGTGCTGGCTCCTCAGTAACCGGTGTGCTGGGCTCAGTAGTGTCGATGGATTTGCCTTTCTTACCCTTCTTCTTCTTGCTCTTCTTCGAGATTGGCTCAGCTGGTTCGGCTTCGGCGACAGGCTCAGCGGGAGCCACAAGAACGTCGAGGTCTTGGCTGCGCTCTGGCTGTGTGGCATCCACCTTATCAGAGATGTCGGTAACGACTTCAGGAACAGCAGGAACGTTCTCCGCAGCCTCGACTTGGGGAATTGCAGGCTCGTCGAGGTCTTTGTCGTCGGTTTCAGGAAGAGCTACGAGCTCAGCTGGTGGTGCTTCTTCTTGTGACTTCGCGGCCTCAACTTGAGGCATTCTCTGCTCTTCCAAATCCTTGTCGTCGGTCTCGGGAAGAGCGACAAGCTCAGCCGATGGAGTCTCGCGCTCCGGCTTGGAAGTCTCCACTGGCACCGATTGGGTAGTCTCAGCTGTGGGCACCTCAGGTTGAGCAGATTCCGCGAACGGGTCTGGTTGAGAAGAAGTTACTTCAGTGACAGGCGTGCTTGGCTCAGTGTCAAGTGATTTGCCCTTCTTAGCCTTCTTCTTCTTGCTCTTCTTCGATGGCGTCGCTGGCAGATCATCCGCGATCGGCTCGTCGATCTCTCGGGCTGGCGTCTCTGGAAGCGGTACTGCTTCTGCCTCGGTGGTTGAAACCTCTTGCAATGACTTTGATGGAACATCTTCGGCAAGCACCGAAGGCTGAGAAACCTCCGCGATGGGCTCATCGATCTCGCGGGCCGGCGTCTCTGGAAGGGGCACCGCCTCTGCTCCGGCGACTGACTCTACAGGAACCTCAGGCGCGACTTCGATCGCTCGGTCTGCTGCGATTGCTTCGGTCTCGGCCTGAGCCTCTTGGATTGGCTTGGAAGATCCAGCGAGTGCGGCGTCCACAATTGATTCAGATTCAGGTCCAGCGGCTTCGATAGAAGCTTGAGTCTCCGTCTGCACATCGGCTGGGTCTACAGAAGTGGGTTCAATCTCGACAGATTTACCCTTCTTGGCCTTCTTCTTCTTGGACTTCTTTGATGGCGTAGAAGGCTCTTCCTCCAATGGCGTGGCAGGTTGTGTTGGCTCTTCGACCGGGGCTTCTCGTGCAGGAGTTAGAACGTCCATGGGAGTCTGCCTTTCGGCGGTTTCGGCATTGTCTTCAACAACCGCGCTGGGTTCCGGAACAACATCGACCGATACTTCTTGAACAGGCTCGCGATGTTGCTGTTCAGGCAGAGCTTCAGTAACGGGTTGAGCTTCAGGAGCCTGTCGAGTTAGCTCCATTTCGCGCTGGACATCGGTGGTCGGGGTAGCCAGAGTCTCCTCATCAGTCTTCGCCTTCTTGCTCTTCTTCTTTTTCTTGTCTTTCTTAGAAGAAGATGGGGCCTCGGCAACATCATCGACGACTAGATCCGCAGGCTGACTTGGCTCGGCGATTGGTGCATCTTCTGTCGGGACGATGGGAGCCTCAGACAGGGGCTCAAGTCGAGTTGGTTCAGCTGGTGCAGAGATCTCTTTCGCACGCTCCGCAACGTCTGACTGTAGCTGCTCTCTGGGATGAGCCGGTTCAGTCTCCTCGGTAGCCAGATCCTTCGCATCAACATTCTCCTTGACTGATGTCTCCGCACCAAAGAGTCCCTGACCTTGACCAATCTCCCTGCTCTTGCTCTCCTCCTCTTGAACCACAACCTCTTCCACAGGCGTCTCGACAGTTTTGCTCTTCTTCCCCTTCTTCTTCTTGTCTTTCTTCGAAGTGGGTGTTGATGGAGTCTCCTCGACCGCCGGCTCAGCAGAAGGAGTAATCTCGTCCACAGATTTTGGCTGCTCTAATGGAGTAGAGAGATCTTCATCGAAGCTCTCTGTTGGGAGAGGGACAGTCGCGGCATCAGCTCCATCGTCACGCTTCTGCTCGGGTAGAGAGGTCTCTACAGTGGCAGCTTGCTCTGCCGATGAAGGTAGCTCGATGTCGCGGGATCGATCAACTACTTCGCTTGGAGGAGTTGCGACTGGTTCGCTGATCGGGGCAGATGTCTCGAAAGGTGCCTCGGTCTGCTCAGGTACAACTTCGGCCTCACGCTGGGGTGTCACAGTGCCGCTCTTCCGCTTGCTCTTCTTGCCCTTTTTGGTCTTCGGGGTAGCAGGAAGCTCAGCTTCTACAGGTGCAGAAGAGGGCTCTAGAATTGGCTCCTGCTCGGCAGGGGAATCTCTGGGGAATGCCTCTTCGAGAGGCTGTGTGAGGTCTTCATCGGGTTGCTCCGCAGGCAAAGGAATGTCAACGGCCTCGACAACAGGAGGGTGGATAACGTCCGGAACGGAAGTCGGCTGGTCGGCGATAGACTCAGAAGCTGTAACAGAAGATGGCTCGGTAGCAGTCATAGGCTCCTCCTGAGGCGTGGAGATACCGCTCTTCTTCTTGTTCTTCTTGCTCTTCTTCGTCTTTGGCGCATCGTCTTGAACAGAAGGCGAGGACTCAACTGGTGCTTCACGCTCTGCTGGTGTGGCCACATCGAGAGGCAGAGAAGGTTGTTCACGGGAAGGCTCTTCGACAGTCGGTGCGAGCTCGGATACAAGTTCTGCAGCCTCCGTGTTAGAGGGAACGATCTTCTCCTGCACGACCTCTGCGGATACCGGTTCAGCAACAGTCTCGGTGACAGGTGCAGATTCGCTTGCAGAAGCATCCAGCGAACGCTCAACAGCAGGTTCGGTCGGAGTCGTTGGGGTTGCGGTCTCGACCTCAGTGCTTTCGAGTTCAGCTTTCTTGCTCTTTTTGCTCTTCTTGGCCTTCTTCTTGCTGACAGGTGACGTGACTTCATCTTCGGCGATGGTGATTGACTCTGTAGTAGCTGGTTGCTCGAGCTTGACGGTACGTTCGGCAGAATCAACGATAGGCGGCTCTTCAGTCAGAGGAGTTGACTCAGATACTAGCTGTTCGCCCCAAGCTTCTATCGCAGATTCCAAAGGAGTCTCCGCAGGTTTGTCTGCTTCAGGTTCAGGCTTGACAGGCTCCGCGGTCACCTGGTCGCCCAGATCCTTTGCCGCCGCGTCAACTGGAGCATCGACGGACTTGGCAGCGTCGGCTGCAGGCTCATCGAAATCGGGAATCGGTACGCTGCTCTTCTTCGCCTTCTTCTCCTTCTTGGTCTTGATGATCTTCTTCTTTGACGAGCTGGGTTCAACCGAGATACGGTCGTAAGCTGAACCGCCAGACTCGGTCGGGACGAAGTCAGAGATCGTGCTGGTGGGCTTTCCAGCATCAGTGAACAGGCCACTTCGGCCAAGAGACAATTGCTCAGCAGGCTTCTCTTCGACGATGGTGTCTTTGCTGACCGTTGCCGAGGGCTGGGCGGGTGCTGCCACTGATGGGAACGTGAACGAAGGCTTACCATTATCGGTGAAGAAACTGGTCTGAGGTGCAATGAACACAGCTGGCTCTTGTGTCTTCGCAGGGGCCTTTCCATCGGCAGTTGAGGCAGTATGCTCAGTAGACTTTGGCACTGATGGGAATGCAAATGAAGGTCTTCCTTCATCAGTGAAGAAGCTGCTTCGGGGCGCGACAAACACAGGCTTCTTCTGCTCTTCCGCAACCTCTGCTTCCTTCGCGACCGAAGGAGTTTTCTCGATAGTTGCAGACGGCACAGAAGGGAACGAGAACGAAGGCTTGCCGTCATCTGTGAAGAACGCATTTCGTGGCGAGACGTCAACAGGAGCCGGTGTCTCCTCCGCGAGAGATACTTCGCTCGATGCGACGCTTGGCTCGACCGCGGGGGCGGATGGCATTGTGGGGAAGGTGAAAGATGGCTTCCCATTATCGGTAAAGAACGCGGTCCGTGGCGACACGAACGCAGGGCTCTTCTCCTCTTTAGCAACAGGGGCTTCTTCGGGCTTGGTCGTTGGTTCAGCTGCAGGCGCGGAGGATACCGGTGGGAATGTGAAAGACGGCTTGCCGTCGTCAGTGAAGAAGGCAGTAGATGGCGTGGCATCTTCAGATGGCTTTGTAGCCTTCTCTTCAACTACAGGACCGTCCTTGGGAGTCTCGATAGATAGTTCCTGAGGAGCCGCTGATGGCTGAGGGAATGCGAAGGAAGGTTTTCCATCATCAGTGAAGACCGCAGTAGGAGGAGCGATGCTCGAGCTGGCCTCTTCCTTGATAATTTCGCGGGTTGTGGCCTCAGTAGGTCGCTGTGTAGGAACAGACGATCTCCTAGACTCAATCTTCTGCAACAGCTCCGGCTTTGAAGTCTCATCCTGCGTTTTTACTCGAGAAATTGAAGGCCTCTTTTCGGACTTGGAACTCTTCCTCTCGGACACAGTTGGCGAGGATGGTTGTGACTTGCGCTTGGCCTCTTCTCTGGCTGCAGCTAGTGCGGCGAGGACGGCAGATTGGGGCTTCGGAGAAGACGGAGGCTCGGATGTTGGCGGCGGCGGGGCCTTCTTCTTGCCCCATCCAATAGCACCCCACAGGCCGGAACCCCAGCCTGAACCTGCCGATTGCCCTTCGATCCCAGAGGCTCGGCGGTTTTCTTCGACGGGAGTGTTCTTGGCTTGTTCGGCGCCGTCAGCTGTGCTAGGCCGAGCTGGAACCTCTGGTGTGGCAGGCCCAGCTGAAACTTCCGACTTGGCCTCTTCAGGGTTTGCTGGAGTAATGGGTACAGGCTCTGTCTCTTGCTGGACTGCTTCGTCGGTCGAGGGAGCTGGTGGTTCTTCGGGGACTGCTGGAGCAGTAGGTGCAGGCACCGCCTCTTGCGAAACTGCTTCATCGGCTGAAGCGGCTGGTGCCTCTTCTTGAACCAAGAAGTCCATGACATCAACCTTGTCCTTGGGCTCGTCGGCTTTGTCCTTGGGCTCTTCGCGTTCGAAAGATGGCTCGAGGATATCGCGTTCAATGGTGTCTTGTTGCGACTCCGACGAAGGCAAGATCTGGTCATCTTGCGTTGAAACTTCCGGTAGAGCTGCGGGTTCGAGCTCGGGCTCGGGCTCAGCTTGCTTGTTGCCGCGTTTACCCTTCTTGTTCTTCTTCGCCTTCTTCGACTTGGGTGTAGCCGCAACTTCCTCCTCGATGGCAGGCTCAGAAACTGAGGGTTCAGCAGACTTGGAAGAGCTAGGCTCGACATGAGCGTCTTGAGAAACTTCCAGAGGAGTAACAGCTGGCTCGGTAGTAATCCCAAGACCCTGCTTTGCCTCTTCGACAGGCTCAATTGACCTAGCAGCTTCTTGAGGGATGTCATCAAAGACCGCGCGTCTGACCTCGGTGGATTCGTCCTCTTTTGGTGCAGTAGTGTCCAAAACCTTCTGTCGAAAGGCCTTGGTATCCTTGGGCGTTCCGACAGGCTCGCCGACAAGCGTAGCATCGTCCGTAACGACGGACTCAGTCCTGTTCTTGGCCCAATCTTCCTCGTTGTCAACGAACGTAGTGGCGAAGCTGAAGGAGGGCGATGGCTTGATTATCTCCTCGGGTGATTGAGCTACGGGCGATGGAATAACAGGCGATGGGGCTACGGGGGACTCGGCGGCGACGGGCTCCTTACCCTTCTTACTTTTCTTGGTCTTCTTGGCCTTACCCTTGCCCTTTGGCGATGGTTCGACAACAGGTTCGATGGTTTCGGGCTCAGGTTGCTCTGGCTCAGCAGCTGACGAAGCCTTGTCTTTGGTGTCATCGCGCTGAGATCGAGTTGGTGAAGGAGATCGTTTTCGCAAAGCAGCCGCTGTCAAACCACCTACTACTGCGCTAAGAGCAGCATCTTGAAGTCTTGATGAGCTGCTCGATGGGACAGAAGTAGTGTCGCGGGACTTGGGAACGTCGCGCATCATCTTGTCGTCGAGCGGCGCGCTTGTCTCAAGAGGAGTCTCCGCCTGTGGAGAGGTCAAAGTCGACATGAAATCGTCGGTGGACGAATCCTGTTCCTGCGCTCTGGCATGCTCCAGTGCCGCGGTGAGCGATTCATAGTTTGGACCGCTAGACGGTGCCGACGCTTGCTGGGCATCTGTGAAGTAGTCAGAGGCCTTGGGTGTAGCTTGGCCAGATTCTTCGACCTCTTCAATCTCGCGATGGGCAAGCTCGGGATGCTGAAGCTCCGGTCCATGGCTGGGCGCAGTAAGGTCAGCTACGGCACTCAAAGGATCGAAAAATGAGTCATAAGATGACTGTCCAGCGCTCTCATAAGGTGACTCCTGAGCAGACTCAAACTCTTCTTCTGAATCCGCGCCAGAGACTACTGAAGAGGCACTACTGGGTGGAAGTGCTGGCAACACTTCATCGATCTCATTGGACTTGCGGTTGCGCTCCACAAGATACAAAGGTCGGAACTCTCGAGAGTTCCTAAACTCTGTGGAGTGCGTCTTGCCATGGCGAGAACGAGTCGGTGAAGGGCCAGGAAGAGGCTCAGCTGCTAAGCTAGGGTCAACGGTAGAGGGTATAACGGGCTTGCGGAAGCGTATGGGAACTGCCGTTGATGATAGTCGACGTTGAGAAATCGCGGTCGAAGGACGTGTGACGTCTGGCGAACGTGTTGGCGAACCTGGCCTAGACAGCGGCAGCGGAGGTAGCTCATCGGGGAAAGCTTCCAGCTGCCAAGGCTGAAGGCCTGTAAGACGGGTTAGAAGCGCGCGGCTGTCTTCGAACGATAGTTCGGGCGGTAGATCGTTGTCTCCAGAGGCGGTGAAGCGTTGGGCATCATCCGAGGACGAAAGAGGAAACTCGGCCCGATCTCCAAGGATTATGCCACTACCCTCGTGGGCCTGATCGACAGGCTCACTTACGGGCAGTGGACTTGGAGTGGCTGTGGTCACTGCCCGATCGCCTAAAAAAGACTGCTGTTGTGGTTGTTGTTGTTCATCGGCATGCGAGGGCGGGGTTCGAGGTTGTAAGAGATCCTATAAACACGACATCAACATTCATTCTAAATACATTGCGAACAACGGTGCTATCGCACATGAGAAGAGCGATGTACCTTGTCATCATAAGCATCCGTCCTGTCTCCGTCTCCTCTCTCGCTACGACTGCGGCTGCTCCTCTTTTCGCGTCGACTACTGGTCGAGATCGTGGAGCGCATGTCATCATCGTCTGAGCCGCCGTAGGTAGAACCGCGATCCGACCGATGCTTCCGTCTACGATGTTTGCGTTCTTCATCGTCGTCGTCCTTAGATTTCGAGGACTTGCTTGAAGCTTCTTTCAAGTTCTCCCTCGACTTGCTGCCGAAAAGGCCCAGGAAGCCACTTGGACGTTTCTCCTTCTCCCTCCTTGAGCTGCGATCCTCGTCTAGATCTGGAATTGAGGATACGACGGAAACCATGTCATCATCTCGTTTGGATCGTCTCCGGGAGGACTTGCGATCATCATCGTAGTCGCCGAGTTCGGAAGCTGCTGTGGAGCGTGATCTAGTCTTGGTCTCGGGTGATGCGTCTCTGTCGCCATCCCTTCTCCTGTGCTTGCGTCGTCGCTCGCCAGTCTCGGAGATGGCGGATTTTGTGTCCCAGTCGTCAGCGCCTTCATCAGCCTCATGATGGCGATGTCTTCGCCTCCGTTCTCCACCCTCTTCAAGATCGTAACCGCGATCGTGGCTCTTCTCACGTGTCTCGGACTTGGCTTCGCGACGTCTGCGGCGTCTCTCCTCGCGATCGGGGTCGTCATACTTGTAGCTCAGAGAAGCGATTGAGCCCACATCGTCATCGTCGTACCTGCGTGGTCTGTCGTCGAAATCATCGTCGTATCTGTCATCGACATCCTGGTCGCGATCGTTTCGTGAGTGCCTGTCCTTCGCCTCCTCGTTGAAGTCTGCGGGATAGAATCCGTTCGATTCTTTTTCGTTGCCCGCCCGACTTGGCACATCGTCGGGAGCATAGTACCCAGAGTCGGTTACGTTACGAGCGGTGACTGGATCATGCGCCATCGTGAACGGCGCTGCAGTGGGGACCTTTGGGGCCTCGACCATCGTTTGGTATCTGGAAGGATCGGAAATGGTGCGGGCGTTTATGTAGTCGTCATACGTCGTCTCGGTCCTGAGAGGAGAACTGATGCTGGGTGACCATTTGCCGCTGCTGTGTCTTTTCTGGACTTTCGGCCTGGGTGTCTTATCGGCCAGCTCCTCAACGCCCTCAAATGCGTAGCTTGGGATTGTCACATTCTTCTCATTTCGTTCGAGTGCACGTGCGCCATTCGGTGGAGATACAGGAGAGTCGCGTGAATGGTGCTTCTCTGTGGACTCAAGATCCTTCCTGGCACGCTCGGCATCCGAGGCCATCCTGTTTTGATCCTGGTTCATGGTCATGCCCATTAGAGCAGCGAAACCACCGGCCATGGCAGCGGTGGAGGCTTTACTGCCGCTACTCTCACCTTGTCGCGCGGGCTTCTTCGGAGGACTAGGGGACTCTTGGAATGCTTCTCCTAGACGTGGTGGTTCGGCAGATCGAGATGGCTCAGTTGAGCGAGAAGAGTCGGCGAAACGTGAGGTTTCAGCAGGTCGAGAAGGCTCAATATCCCTGGGATCTCGGGAGGGCTCAATGTCCCTGGGATCGCGTTCCATGATAGGGCTTGATGGCGGACTGGGATCACTCATCTCCCAAGTGTCCACACTAGCTCGCTTCGATGACTTGGACTTCTTCTTCTTGTCCTTCTTCTCCTTCTTGCTGAGCTTGACCTCTGGCTCCGCTTCCCTCTCTTTCACTGCAGGTGTTGGCTCTCCACGTCGAGAAACATTCTGCATAGCTACAACTTCGTCAGTATCGTTAGTCTTGTTCTTACCCTTTGTGTCCTTCTTCGCGGACGATGCCGGCGGCTCTTCTGCGAACACCTCAGACTCAGGTATGTCGTCCCAGCCGCCGGGCATGTGCATCGACACTGGCGGTGTAGGAATCTCGCCTTCAACAAAGCCAGGTCCCACTGTACTCTGTTGGGGCGTCCTCCACGCGTCGCGCTCTGACTCAGGCTGCCAGTATGCCGTCTGGACGCTGCTCGTAGATGGCACAGCTGAGATGATGGAAGGGGTGACTGTGGAAGATGGTGCAGCTGAGATGATCGATGGAGCGATAGTGGATGGGGCCCTGTTTCCATCAGAGAACGGGTTGCTGAGGGAAGACGCGGTAGGATTGCTGAATCCAGCTGCAGTGGCATTGCTGACAACAGTGCTGACGGTAGACGCAGTTGGATCGCTGAAATCGTAGGAAGTCGCACTGCTGAGGTTTGATGCAGTCGGGTTGCTCAGGGCAGATGCAGTTGGATTGTCGCGTCTGTAGCTACGCTCGTCCTCTTGATCTCGTTGATCTCGGGAAAGAACCGCTGCAGTCGTTAGTGCTGCAGCTGCTGCCGCTGCTGCTGACTTCTTCTCCTTCTTGTTGCTCTTCTTGGAAGCAGCATCCACGACACTGTCCCAACTGGAGTCATTCTCGTCCCGAATGTATTGCGTGCTTGGTGCAGACTCCTTACTTTCGGGGACTCTGGACATCTCGGGGCGGTAGGGTGTGTAGGTGGACGTCGTCTGTTCGGGCTTGGGCGGCTCGCGCTCGACCGTGGCTTCACGCGACCTGAGATCGCCATCTGAGACGAATTGTTCGCGGTAGGACTCCGGAGTAGGGACGTCAAAGTGGTGGAACTGGTTCTCGCCCCAGCTTACCCTAGATCTTGCTCGGTTCGATTCGTCATCTCTTGGCTCGCGTCTGGTCTCTCTAGTCTCCCTGATAGGCTCCATTGCTGGTGATGGAGGGGCAGATGCACTGCGCACAGAAGGTGTGCGACTACCGGGAGGAGTAGGCAAGATGAGGTTCAGCGATGGAACTTGAGGTAGCGGTTGGGGTTGAGAGGACCGACCATTTCTGGTGGCAGTGAATGCGTACGACGGAGGATAAGGAGGGAGCTTGGGCTGGCTGACAGGATAGTCTTCCCAAGATTGGTAGATGGGTAGATCTGGAGCGCCCTCGTTCGGGTCTACTGGGCGGACCTTGGGCAGGTTGTCGTTGGCCAAGAGCTCTTCCGGTGCGAAGAATTCAGCTTGAGATACTGGCTTTGCATAGTACCTTTGTTCCCAATCTTGAAGGACTTCGCGAGCTTCCTGGCGTGAATTGTCCTTCTGCTTAAACATATCGGGGTTGAAGATGTCCTCGTCAAAAATGTCCTGCTTGACTTTGCTGGGCTCGATAGTCTTGACACTGGTTGGCTCCCGCTTCTTGCTGCTCTTCGAGGATGAAGATTCACTCTTGCTGCTCTTGGACGAAGAAGAATCGTTCTTGCTGCGCTTCCATGAGGAGGATTCGCTCTTGCTGCTCTTCGTTGAAGACGAAGACTTGCTGTCGCGCTTCTTCTCGCGCTCCCTCTCCTTCTCCTTGTCCTTGTTGTCCTTGTAGTCCTTGATCGCAGCAGTTGCGATTGCTGCTGCAGCACCAGCAGCTACTGCGCCAGCAACGGAAGACTTCTTGTCAGACTTGAAAGCCTCGCGTTCGCGGTCTTGCAGCTCCTGCTCCTTGCGTTGTACAACGGTGGCAGTCGAAGCCATTGAATCTCCTGTTGGCTGCTGTTCAAGCTTACGAGCTCGGTCGCTCTCGTATCGGTCGGTGTAGTCCTGAGCTTCGCGTTCCCTGCGTCGGCGCTCCATGTCCTCTTGAATCTCAGCTTCGCGTCTCGCGGCATCGATGCGCTCAGCTTCTTGTTGTTGAGATTCACGGCGCTCTCTCCGTTTGCGCTCAGCCTCCGCAGCCTCGATGGCGAGCTGACGCTGACGCTCCATTTCGGACATTCGTTGATGACGTTCGCGGTCTTCGGCTTCCCGAGCGAGGCGTGCCTGGACCTCTTGCTGTTCGCGACGGCGTTCGTTCTCGAGCCTCGCCAATCGTTCGATGTCCATGAACTTGCGAGCCTCCTCCTGCTGCCGTTGCAACTCCAGGCGACGTCGCTCGTCTTCGTCTCGGCGTCGCGCTTCTTCTTGGCGTGTCGTTTCCTCCAAACGGAGCAATGTCTGCCGGCGGTCTTCTTCAATCCGTCGAGCCTCATCCTCTTGCAGCTGCCGTTCTTTGCGCAGGCGATCCTCTTCCTCACGGAGCGCAAGTGCCGCTCGCCGGGCCTCTTCCTCTTGTCGCAGCTGTTCTCGACGCACTCGGTCTTCCTCTTCCCGGCGCGCCTCGTCCTCGCGTCTCTGTTGTTCTCGGCGACGCTCGGCCTCCTCGTCCAGTCGCTCCTGCTCCTTGCGTCGCTCACGGAGGTCCTTCTCGGCCTGCTCTTGTGTCAAGTTGAAGCGAACATTGCTAGACGCGGACGGCGGTCGGCTCGGAGGTCGGTCGGGGTGTTTCATCGCAGAAACTGCTGCAAATCCGGCAGTCGCTGCAAGTCCAGCAATAGAGGCATCTCGCCTCCATGAGGAGCTTTGGATGGGAGAAGAGTTTGCCCGACGGAATTGAGGATGCTGAGGACTTTGGATGATAATGTTCTGAACTTGAGACTGCGTGGGATAAGGAGGTGGGAAAGGTGCTGGTGGGAAGTCTGAAGGACCTGCTGTGGTGTACCCAGATTGTGATGGTGCCTGTGTTGAGTAGATGGCGCCGGGGACTTGCTGCACTGGCTGAGGGTGTTGAATGGGGATGGGACCAGGTCCTGAGGTGACAATAGGCTGATTGGTGACGATAGAGCTTGTACGGCGTGCATCGAACGACGCATTGGGGTCATGGGGTGCAACAGGATAGACCGACTGCAATGTTTGAGCGCTGCTAGACTCGCTGTCGTGGTGTCCATGGGCAGCTCCAACAGCTGCGCCGGTCAAGGCACCTGCTGCGCCAGCTGCGGCAGGCCCAATGAGCGACGTACTAGCGATGTTGTCGTAGAGGTTGTTGGAAGACCTTCTCTTCTTGCCAAAGCCCCATCGCCAGCCCCATTTGTTCGTACCTGAGTGGTTGGATCCGATAGACTCGTTGCTCTTGGTCTTCTTCAGGGAATAATCGCCGTATACGAGACCGCCATCACTCGAGGAGTCGGAAGTACCATCGTCTGGCAAGTCCTCCCACTCGTCGTCCCCGTAACGTGAGGCGGGCCGCGAAGTTTGACTTGTCTTGCGACCAAGACGGTTCTCCTTAACAGCAACGACCTCGTTGTGGCGTTTGCCCTTGCCGGCCTTCGCGGCTGTGATAGCAGCAGCCGTAGCGCCAAGACCAAGTAGCGAAGCTTTCAGTCGCTCATCCGAGTTTCGTCTCTTCGGCGATGATCGTCTCCGCGTCCTCCTTACGTAGCCGGTGCCGAATGCCATCTCGGAGTCGGATGAGGATGTTGAAGCGTTGCTGAAGCTGAAGAAGCCCTTCTTCTTTTTCTTCAGGCTATTGGCTGTCTTCACTCGCTTCTCCTTTGGTGGAGGTGCAGAGAAGAAGCCTCCAAGGAAGCCACCCTGGGACTCGTGATTCTGGCCAATCTCGATGACAGAGGCTCCGGATGTTGAGCTTCGAGATGCTTTGTGTCGGAGTGAATGCGATCTTCTCCTACGACGCTCATCGTCACTGCTGTCTCTGCGGTGATGAACCACTTGAACCCTCTTCGGGGACCTGGATCGACTGTGCTGCTTCTTCTTTGTGGCCGCTCCAAGGGCGACTCCTGCAAGACCTGCACCAATGGCAGTGCCGATCAGGCCTGTCTTGCCGCGTCCTGAGTTGGAGCTTGAAGTTGAGCTTGATCGAGAACGGCGCGACCGAGACTGACGGCGAACAACCTTGTGATCCTTACGGTCCTTCTTGTCGCTCGTAACGCCCACGGACATCACGGAAATGCGGTCGGCGGAATTGCTCCGGTGGCGGATGCCAGAGCTGCCATAGCTGTAACTCTTGCGATCCCCTGATCTGCTGCGGCTGTGTCGTGAGACCCTCGACCGACCAGACTTGATGCTGTATGTGTCGTCAAAGTCGTCGCGGCCCGCGCTGAAGACAGCCTTTCCAGCCTTGGCAAGGCCAATGCCGCCCAGGCCTGCAGCTACCCAGCCCGCGGCGCTGCTCTTGTTCTTGCGACGCTCCTCACCCGAAGAGATTGAGCCCCAAGACTTCTTCTCCTTGAGCGAGTATCGAGATTGCTTCTCAATGCCACCAGTGGGTCGCATGAACTCATTGGATCGCCGTTTGTAGTAGTGGTGCTTCCGCGGGGCGTCCAGAACGGAAGAGCGAGGGTCAAAGCAACCCTTGCAAACTCCAATGTACTCGGTGTACTCTTCCATCTTCTGCACATCCTCGTAGTCTTTCCACCAGTCGACAAACTTGGAAACAGGCCCAGTGTGCTGATGCTGGTGAGCCATGCCGCCTGAGATGTATGGACTGGGCGTAAGGCCATTCTGATGATGTCCGTTCGGGCCGTGCGCCGACGGGTGATGGTGTGTGCTATGCGAGTGTGTGTGGGTGTTGGAGTGGGTGTGTGAATGTGAATTATGTTGGTTTAAGCCATAAGCCGCCAGTCCTGCGGCGCCAGCAGCGTACAGTCCAGCCATGCTGCCAGACGAGTGCTTTTCTGGCTTGGCTGGCCGAGGTGGCTTTGGAGGAGGCGCGCCTTCCACGCCGTAGGCGGCGGCTGCAGCATAGGGTGGGAGGTAGCTGCCGTCGTTGGCAGCGGTATTAGAAGCATTAGATCCCGGGCCGTACATGTTGTACGTGGAAGCCGGAGCAGCCGGGGGGGTATTATTAGTATAAGAAGAGTATGATGTAGAAGGGCGAACATTCGATGAGCTGTAGCTCGTGGTGTGTTCGTGATTAGAGGAGCTGTGGCCCATGGCATATCCCAGGGCAGCTCCGCCGGCCGCAGTAGCAGCTGGGCCGAAGGTGCTCGACTTGTTGGGTCTCGACGAAGATGCGGGTCGCGGTGGTTTCTGGGGCGTCGGGGTGTCGTCGACGAAGGCACCGGGCATGGACGAGCTCGATGGTCGTGGAGGCCTGGATGAAGAGCCATTTGTGCTGGGCCCGTAGAAGTCTGCAGCGGCGCCCGATCCGGTGTCGGCAACCGGGTTGGGCTGCGCGGAGGCAGACATGAGATGGGGGGTATCCTGTCCTATGATGACAGAGGGCGGCTGGGGCCTCACGCCAGGCTGTTGGTGCACTGACTGGCCCTGGTCGTTGTAGAAGTCGGCAGCCGCTCCGAAGGGATGGCCGCCAGGGAGCGCGCTCGAGGTGTATCGCAGAGGGTCCTGGCCAGGGAACTGGCTCTGCACGTGATCGTCCATGTCGTCGTGGTGTGGTGGGTGGCTTCCTACTGGCAGAGCGCCCGACATCATGGGCGCTCCTGCCTGTCCTGGGAACTGCGAGAAGCCGTCGCTGCCAATCTGGCCGCTGAAGCTGCGCTGGACCGACTTGGGACTGTCAACAATCTCGCCCCTGTAGCCGGCGCCCGTTTGCGACGTGCTGCCGGACCGCACTGAGCGCGTCGAGCGGCGCTTCTCGAGCTTCTTGTCCTTGGCCTTGCCCGTCTTGCGGTCCTTGTCGTCGCGCAGTGTCGAGCTGGACGACTCGGCATAGCTGCTGCGGCGATCGTCGCGACGCATGTTGTCGTCGTCGTAGGGACCGCTCGTGTTGTTTGTTGTGGCCCGTGAGCGCGGCATCTCGTCGAAGGCAGTCGTGAAGGAGGCAATCGAAGACGCGGAAGGCGCAGTGTCACGTTTAGATGAGGTCGATGTCGATGGCTTGCGCGTCGTCGAGGATGACACGACGGAGCGGGCGTCTGGGTCGCGCTTGGAACGCGTGGAGTCGCTAGTACGGCGGCGGCGACTTTCCTCGTCCTTGTTGCTGTTGGAGGCAGCAGAGCTACCGGTCAATCTGCTCCACATGATGGCGGATGACTGCAGTCAGGATCGCGGGGGCGCAGATGCGTTGTTATTACAAAGTGGTGCTGGCAATGGGTCGGGCGCAAATGAGATGAGTCTCTTGGTGGGATATGCTGGGTATATCGCTGCAGACAGTCGCAAGTGAGAGAGAATCGTTCAAATCGTCATGTCGTGATGATATAGTACAGGTTTCCGATGCAGAATGGCTAGGAAAGTATGCGCGCAATGCCCAAGGACAACCAAAGCAGCCTCTCGCGGTACTAATCGCAAAGATTGGTGTGGTGCAGAGCAGCTGAAGTGCTCGGCTTGGGACGTAAGCCCCAGCAACCGAGTGAGTTGGCGGCAAGGGTTAGCTCGATCCACACGGGATGGAGGCGAGGCTGGGCCAATAGCTGCCCGATGGCAAACGCTTCTTCTGCGGATCTTTACCGGGGCTTCTTCCGGGGCTGTTCTCGCTGTCATCGAGAACATGTTGATCAAAGTGAACTGTGCAGGCTGGGGCGCGGCAATCTAGTCTTGTGGTTCTGGTAGTTAGTAGTAGCTCTTGCTGCGTGTTGCGAGCTCCTCCCACGACCTTCATCGGACACAGTCAGGGCGCGCGGAGATTTCCGAGGCCATCAGTGTAGTTATCTTGCATGTTCAATGTTGGTTAGGCCGCCGAAATCTTTAAACCCGATCGTTGATAGTCAAACATCACCCAGTCGCATCGACAAGGATTACAACAAAAACAAGGCGCGCGTGTGACATTGAATCCATTTTTGCATTAATCAGGCTTGTGCGACCTGTGTGCATCTATTCGCGACTGTGCTATGCAGTCCTTCTGGGGAGCCACTCATTACACTCCACATGTTCCTTCACGTTTCTGCACGTCCAATCCATCATCATCTGCATAGCCTGAGTCATCCGATTCGAATCCAGAGTCTGATGATCCAACCAAATCACGACTCATCCTTTCCCAGGTCTCGCTTTCTTCTGGGAGAGTTTTCAAGCTGTACAAGCCATATGAGAACATCGCTTCTTTTAAGCACTGCGCCCTGGAGCAGCGATCGGGGTATTTCATGATTTCCAGTAAGCTCCGTGCGATGAGATCAGGTTGTGTTGTGCTCTGTCCTACGTCGCGTAGTATGCACCAAAGGACCTCCGCGCCCCGCTCGTGGAACAAGCGGTCTCTTATAGCAAGACCAAGGCCAACTTTCCGCTTCTTATGAAGCTGCTCGAAGTCTCGGCGCAACTAGGGCCGCCCACCAGCCATCAACATCTGCCGTATCTGCAGGATTTGGGCGCGGTGCTCTGGTGCCAACTGGTCAATCTGCTGCTGCGACAGCGCCATGACTTGAGCATACAGCGCCTGCTGGTCCATTCCAGGCGCTTGTGGTTGCTGTTGCGGTGGAGGCTGCGCGTACGGCTGCGCGACGGGTGGCTGAGTTTGGGGAGGTGTAGGCGCGACTTGTGGTGGGTATCCGGGGTAGTTCACAGGCGGTCGCGCAACTTGCGGTGGTGGCTGCTGTACTTGCTGAACAGGTGGAGCCTGCGCAACTGGGGCAGGCGCGGCCGATGTCTCCACAAGCGAGGTCAGGATTTGTGGGTCGACCAGCTGGAGGAGCAGTAGCGACTGAAAGATGGCATAAGCCAGCTGAGGCGCTTGTCGCAGCAACTCGGTCGCCTTGGCGGGATCCGTCATGACAAGGCCTTTCATCTGCGAGAGGATATCGAGGAGTTGATCGGGAGGGAGTGTAGAGAGCGTGCGCGAGATGGCATCGGGGCATGTAAGGTTGGGCGGCAGCTCGACGCCTGGTGGAAGAGGACCCAGCGCGCTCGACGGTTGCGCCGGTGCTGGTGCTGCTGGTTGTTGGCCGTTCATGGCTGGCTGTGTGGTCTGGTCGCGATTGGAAGGCGCGTTGTCGCCAGAGCCGCTCTCGTTGGACCAGTCGACCCTCAGCTTCCTGCCCATCAAATCGTAGTCGTTGAGGTTGCGCACGGCCGAGGCTGCGGCGTCAGCGTCGGCGAACTCTGCGAACCCAAAGCCCTTGGGGCGCCCGGTTTCCTTGTCGTACACCAAGCGAAAGTTGAGCACCTGTCCGACGCGCCCGAGGGTTTCGATGATGAGCTCTTCAGTGCCGCCTGGGTTTGTTAGCTCGGTTTAGGATTACAGTAGTGTTAAAGACGCAGATTGGAAGATCTGGCGTCAATGTAGGCTCCAGGGTGAGCGGTCGCATACCGTAGGGAATGTTGCCGATGAAAACAACTCTGCCCGCTTTGTCGTTGGGCGCCATCGCTGTGCAGACTCGATATTGATGAAAAGATCGCTGGAAGATACACGGTGAAAGAGGGTCGGGAGAACGTGGGAGATCGAGGGAGTGTTTCTTTGAGGCTTCGAAGGTTCCGCGAGGCATGAGCTTTGGACCGTCGCTAGCGCGACTTTGGGCTTGGCGCGTCTTACCTGCTGAGCAGGCACACGACCAACTCTTCCAAGGTTCCCTTCTAAGGTTGGACATGGCTTCCATGATTTGAACGCATTCTATTACGATCACATTGTTTTCCATGCCCGTAGCTTTGCATCGATATTAATCTTGGCTTTGGACGATCACAAGGTATCTCACAAATAATTATCGCAATATTTGGTGATGATGTTCATTTGTTGAAAACTACAGCTCTACAACTTCGCCGTCGATGGCGCACAACACGTACCGTCCTCACCAATCGTCGCGGTAACACTAGGCTGCTGATGCTGCTCACTCAACAAGCTGCTCTTGTTGAACGCTTGCTCACTCGGCGGTACGTCTAGCGCAGGGTTCTTATCGAAGAAATTGACCGGCTTCATATGGATCTTGATGATCTCGCAAGGCATAACGGGAAAGTCCTCAATACGAGGCACATGGTTAATGCCCGCTTGGATGTAGACGACAAAGTCGGTGTCCTTGACGTTGTCGTTCCTTTCCGCCCAACTCCGCACTCCCGTTCCACCACGGCTCTGGTTGGTGTAGGTACCGCCTGCGTATAATTCGCCATCCTTGTGCTTCACGACGTAGATGTTGTGGTCGGAGAATTCGGCGCGTTTGTAGTTGAAAGAGTCCTTGTCGGAAAGGATCTTCTGGAAGGGCGGCGCTTGGATCTTGTATGCGACTGGCTTTCCGTTGACGGGGTTTCGCACGTTCGGGTTTTGGATCTTGAAGGTGCGGTTATTCTCGTATGCGATGTCGTAGCCACCAGACTTGTCGACGACGGTCTCTTGGACGTAGTAGCCAGTACCGTGGGGGTTGAAGTCTGAGCGCGGCATCGGGAACGCCTCGTCATACACGAGTCTGTTGTCATACCCGTCTATCATGGGGTCGACGCGCAATGAGAAGATGTGTTGATGGTGGACGGCAAGTACACCGGGGTGCACGACTGTACCGAAGGGCACCTCGACACCTTCGTCAATAGGCTGCGTGCTTAGGATGCCAGTAGCCCTGATTTCGTAGTCGACTTCTCCGGCCTGGTTGAAGATGAAGGCTAGGATATACTCGTAGTTGGCTACGGTAATGATGCTCTGGAGCACCAACTCCCGGTTTCGAGCGACGACTGCGCGGCCGGTGCGGTAGTTAGTGTGCTTGAAACCGATTCCAGCATCTTGCTCGTGGACGCATACGACGTTGGGCATCTCCACAGACCCACCGTGGTTGTCGGCGAGTACGGCAGAGAGATAGTAGATGGAGCCCAGACAGTCGCAGCCCAGCTTGAGGTTGTTCGCCATGATACCAGCACCAACATCGCCCAAGTCGAAGGCGCTCTTCTTATGGTAGGGATGACGAGGGTCGGCGTACGGAATGTTCATGTCTGAAAGGCTCATTCGGTAGAACAAGCTGCGGTTGTCGTAACGGACATCGTACAGTACCATACCTTCACGCTGGTTGAAACCAACGCGGAAGTTCCATTTCTGCCATGAGATGACATTTGATGTGCCTTGCTGTTCGACTTGGAAGCTAGCACCTTCTGGCTGGATAACATTAAGCGGCTTAAGATCGGTCCGCAGTTGTTGGGCCTCGGGTATGTACTCGTTGGGCGGTTGGATCTTGTACTTTTCAACCGGCTTGATGGTGTTGTCTGCACCAGTCGGTAGTATATCAACGCGAATGACCTCCATCTTCTCTGTGCTCACCACTGGCGAGATAGGAAGCGGCATTGCGTAGTGGTTGGAGTCGGCCTCTGATGAGTTCATCGGGTCCCTGAGGTATAGGAAGCATTGCCACAGCCTATCTTCGTCTCCAACGCCGTCGGACCCGTAGATCCATGGGTCGCTGATTACTACTGTGCCTTGGGGGAGCTCGAGCTTGGCAATCTCCGCTTGTACTTTCTCATCGGTCAGGACAAGTTTCTCGATAGCGACGATTTCATCGCCATCCGCGTTGGCATGGACAAAGGGCCCTAGAAGGACGTTGCGATCTACGCGACGTGAGGTCAAGTCCACAACAGCCTCGTGGAATTTGTTCTGCCGACTAATTAGCCGCGAATCATATTTCCAACATCTTTGCACGTACAGTGTTCCGGATGTAGTAATTGACAAAAGCTTTTCTCGCGATTGACGGAAGTGGCTTGCCGCTATGCTCGGCCTCTAGATATTTCAGTGCCTCGACTTTTGGTGGTTCCTGCAGCGTCACGACCTTGAAATGCAGGTCTGTGTGCGCTGGCCATGAAGCTTTGATGATTGCCGCAGCATCTTGGAGTTCTGATGCCGATAGCGGGGAGAATGGATGAGCAGATACCGATTTCTCGCTCCGCGGACTAGGATCAGTGGCGACTTCTGCAGACATTTTCTCGCAACGAACAATTGAGAACACGAAATCGACGAAGAGTTGAAAGATGGACAGTAGAAGAAGTTGACTATGGAAGGATGGCTTATAACGCTCGAACTACCGACGCTGTTGCCCTAACACAACATTCGATGTGATAAGACTGTGGATCTGGCGAATCTTCGTACAGTTTCCGCATGGACTTTCCGTGTCAGTACTAGGCGTATGTCGATGGCGACGCGACGTGCAACGGGATCACGTGTCGTACCCCGCTTCCCGACCTTGGAAGGTCCCAGCCTTGGAAGTCGCTCCCATGCCCTCAACGTGGCAAGCTTCCAGCGAACGCTCTCGAGCTGTGCAATTTGGGCCTCATGTGAATTTACTTGGTCCGATAACGATATTCCAGGTACGTATGTTGAATGAAGCTCTACCAAGGCATCTAGCGCTGTCGCGGAAGCCAGGTAAACCTAGGAACCACAGGCGCGTATCGAAGCTGATGCGTTACCTTGCTTTATACATAGGGGTACAAATCCTATTCCAGCGCTTTTGACATAGCCTGTACGGCGCAGCGAGCATTCGTACCTGGCTTGCGCGACAGAGTAACGTTCGCAGGGGGCTGGGCCTCACCAAACGCGCCTGCTTGACTACTCCGGTGACGCGCCATCACCTGCGATCTCTTCAGCACCACAAACATCAAAATGCTGGAGATCTGCTGTTTCTCGCAACGAAAGGAAAAGTGTATGCGATAGCGAACCTTGGAACCCACTTCTAGAGAACTCACATCCACGCTGCCGACCTGGCACAGGAAGAGCGGGCCTTACTCCAGATCCACAAGGCAAGCGAGCAACCCTTTGATTTCCAGAGTTGCTTTTGTCCAAGTTCGCGACAAGAGATGGGAAATTGACCAGCCACCCGCCACATCGATTGCTCGATCAACCTCGAAGAAACGGTTCAGCCTGCATATGCAAGACCTTGCACAAAAAACCTTTCAGCAAGATTAATATACAAGTTTTCAGGTGCCTGTTTCAAGCGATAGAGGTTGTGGCAATCATCGCCTCGTTTGTCGTTCGACATCCCGTTGCGTCAACCGCATGACTCGGCATGAAACACCTACGCCGTTGCGAGTCGTTCACACAAACAACAACACCTCAGACGTTCAGACAAGACTCATATTTTGCCGTAGTACACCGGTGTACATTTGCGACAACCAGTTTGGGTGGACATTGTGGATCGGTGTTGTTTCCTTTTTCTTCACTTCGCCTCAAGTTCCGCCCTAGCTTGGACCATGGTGATTAAAAACATATTACCCCAGATATTAATCTATCCTAGGCGTCCAGTGTCGTACAGTTCCAGCGAATGCGCCAGTCTCTAGCTCCGACGGATAGAACCCACCGTCGTCGGCACATGCGCTTTTCCTATTCGTCGGGTCTGCACATTTCGTGCATGCATGACCAATGACCTGCAGTCCTGCATGTCAAGCCCCCATACTCGCGATATTACCTGCCATACCATCACTTGTTCGCCTCGTCGAAGGCTGTCACAAGGTCGTTCCAGAAGGAAAATTCTACGAACTGCCACCGGCAATGAGTACCCACACTCCACCTCACGTCCCGGGTTCTTTGCCGCCTTGCAGTACCCATCGTGCCTGTCCTGTGACGTTTCTTCATTTCGAGTTTCATGCTTGGGCCAATCATGGCTTGACGTTTACCCTCTCTGGTCATATCCTGCGTGCTGCAATATAGAGTGGTATCCATTCGAGGCGTTGTATCTGTGAGGAAGAACATATATAAGAACCGGGGACTTTGCTCTCGTATTCTCTACCAAGATCATCAGCACCTTCGAGTTCATTCGCTATCCTCATCAGTCTCTCACTTACCAATCGCACATCATGAAGTGTGTTGCTATCGCCACCGCCGTCGCGGCCTTTGCCAACGTTGCCTCGGGTCACTGTATGGCACTTCACCACTCATTCTGCACCAGCATATACTAACAGGTACAAGACATCTTCCAACAGCTCACCGCCAACGGTGTGAAGGGTGCCAACTTCCAGAACATCAGGCCCGTTCCCAACAACAGCCCCGTCACCGACCTTGCGGACAAGAACTTGCGATGCAATGCTGGCGGTAACTCTGGCAGCGGCACCACCACTGTCTCGGTCGCTGCTGGCTCCACCGTCTCCTTCACTGCCGACCAGGCCGTCTACCACCAAGGTCCCGTTACCTTCTACATGACCAAGGTCGACTCTGCTGCCGCTGCAGATGGCTCCTCCGACTGGTTCAAGATCAAGGAGATTGGACCCACCTTCTCCGGAGGCCAGGCCAAGTGGGACATGAGTGGTAAGTCACAAACTCCAATCTCGCACTGGAATGTATCTAACACTTTCTTAGCTACCTACTCCACCACCATCCCCTCCCAGATCCCCGCTGGAGAGTACCTCCTCCGCATCGAGCAGCTCGGCATCCACAACCCCGGCAGCCCGCCACAGTTCTACATCTCTTGCGCTCAGGTCAAGGTCACTGGTGGCGGCGCCGGAAAGCCCTCTCCCACTACTAAGATCCCCGGCCACGTCAAGAGCACCGACTCTGGCTACACCGCGAACATCTACGCCAACTTCAACTCCTACACTGTTCCCGGTCCCAAGGTCGCCACCTACTAGACGTAGGTAGATCTGGATATGCGATGGATTGGGCGCTAGGATCGTCTTCTCGCAATCACGTTGAAGCTTGATGTGCTTCTTTCTACTTCTATGTATATACCTATAGCATGAACTCTGCACATATTGTTGCAATTCCCCGATCTTGTTTGTCCTTTGCTACGGTGTATGTTTATCATGTGCCACTCTTATAAAAATCATCGAGGCCTGGGTTTCTGGACAACATGCACTTTCTCATTGTAGACGTTACGAATTTCCGTCGTAGACTATATAACCCACTTTCTCCACCACGAGAGATTTTGTTCATTTGAGACCAAAATCTCCGCCTTGTCATGGTCAACATCCGCAATCTCCGACAAGTCAACATCTTGCAAAGCAATGATGCCTGACCTCGCGTAGCAGAACCCAGCAACCCACAGGAAGATGAATATGGCTATATCGACGTAATACGTGAGAAAGGTGCCCACGCTCCAACGACCTGGGAAGAAGACGCTGTAGCCTGAGAACAAGATGACAAGGAGGAGCGCGCTACCGGTGACCCAGGCGAGGTATGGCTGTAAGGGGCTCTTGTATGCGAGACCTGGTAGTATCAGCACAATCTTTGGCAGAAACAGAGGGTGTGAACTTACGGTCTCGACTAATGCCTTGGACTTTCAATGCGTAGAAGAACCTCAGGTAAGTAACCTCAATGACAAGCCACCCAATCAGTCCAGCAATAGTTGTAATGTTGACGAACCATCCGAACACGACCGATGAGTTGCTCCCCAGACTAAGATAGACAAGTGGCATAAAGATGAGCGAAGCTCCGATCGCCAAGTATGGTGTTCCGAACCGGTTCGTGCGAAGCAAGACGCGGGGAGCCTGTCCGTCCTCTGCTAGCCCGTACAGGGTACGTGATGCAAGGAAGACGCATGCAGAGCCACAGCTGAAGGCCGAAGTGCAAACGATGGCGTTGATGATCGAGGGCAGAACGTTGATACCTGCGCGCTGGAACGCAATGACGAAAGGACTCTGCTGAGCATCACCAGTAGAGATGCCAAGATTCGGGTCGTTGAATGGTACAAGCATGCCAACGATAAAGATGCTGACAACATAGAAGATGAGAACTCTCCAGAACGTCATGCGAATAGCATTCGGGATGATGACTCTTGGGTTCCTTGTCTCGGCGCCAGCGATGGCGACCACCTGGATGTTCGCGTAGCTGTAGGCGGCTGAGATCAAGGAGCTCCAGAACCCGAGGAACTTGCCAGTGTTACCAGGGACGATGTATTCGTTGAAAGGACCGGGGTTCTTCCAGTACCGAAAGCCGATTCGATCTCCACTAGGGGATCCTCCAAGGTCTACGACTAGGCCGGCGATGATGAGGCCTATGATGAGGAGGATCTTGAGAGCTGCGAAGAACACTTCGCTCTTTGAACTGTCAGACATATGAGCCAAAAGTAGGTTGCGTTAGGACTCACCTCGCCATAAACCTTCACCCCGCAGAAGTTGATAACCACGATGATCACGATGAACACCGAGTACCAAACAGCAGGGTTAATGCTGTTATCCCAGAAGTTGATCAAAGTTGCCGCCGCGGCAAGCTCAGCTGGCGCCGTAATTGCCATGGTGTACCAAAAGTTCCATCCGGTCGCGATGCCGAGTGCAGGTTGCACGAACTTGGTAGCATGGCGAACGAATCCTCCAGTGACAGGCATAAACGCCGACATCTCTCCTGCAGACAGGGCGACACCGCATGCAATCAAGCCCATGCACAAATATCCGAAGAGAGCGCCGACTGGTCCTGCGGTAGCGATGGCCTGGCCGGATGCTAGAAAAAGTCCGGTACCCTAAAGTTGGTGCATGAGTATAGAGACTGCAAGGATGCTTTGAAGTGGTTTGACATACGATCATGCCAGCTATGGCAATCATGTTAATATGGCGACGCCCGAGATCGCGTTTGACCTCATAAGTCGTACCGACGGCTCCATGTTCGACGTCTGAATTTGACGCAGAAGTTTGCGCAACTTGCGTAGCATCCTTCTTTGATAGATCCATGATGATGCTCTATCGGCATGGGAGCGCGCAACGGTTCCTACAAGTACCAAGCCGAAGCGGGAAGCTTATCTCACTTAGCAGTTCGGCATCTACGGGGGATTCAGTGACTCCGTAACCGTTGATAGCGGGGTTCTAATTTCTGATAGGGGCTGGTCAGGGCGCCCGAAAACCGGCGATCATGCTGGGGTGTCATGAAATGCCGGCTGCTATCTGTCATGCTTAGAACGCCGGTGGCCCCACCCTTCTCCAAACGGAGAGTCAATAGAATCCGAGAAGAGACGGGATGAGCGTGCAAAACATCAGCAACGCAACTTTCCAAAGGCAACAGAAT